GGACGGACGCCTGTCCCACCCTCAGGCTCCCGCTCACCTTCCCGTTGAGGCGATGCACGGCCCCTGGGCGGGGAGACGGGCACCCCTGGCAGCGGCCACCCAGGCACGGGCTGCCCGTCCCCGCCGCCCGCCCCGCGTACCTTCGGGCAGGCACTGCCGCCCGTTCCCATAGAAGGTGGCCCGGCAGTGGCAGCAGAAGCCGGCGGCATAGTCGGTGCAGAAGGCGTGAGGGGAGCAGCGCCCGTGGTGCTGGGCACACGTCTCCTTGCTGGCTGCGCTGTAGGTGAACACTGGGGACAAAGGGAAAAGGTTGGGGACGCAATGGCAAAGCCACCCGGCACAGGGGGTGGGCGCCTTGCCCTCTTGGCCCCAAAACCACGGCCTGGAAACGAGCCAGTTCCCAAGGGAGCCGCCCGCGGCACAGAGGGGTGGTGGAGAGCTTGGAACCTGTTGCCTGATTTCAGGCAGACCTGACAGAGATCAAATTCCTGAGGGTATTTTTGGGAGACAGCTGGCTGGGGATGGAGCTCTGCTCGCCCAGGCACGTGCCACGGCGGCTCCACAGCTGGCTTGGCAGCGGGGAAGGTGGCAAGGCCAATTGTGACCTCACGCTGGGACCTGTCCCCTGAGCATCCCACCCCATCCCCTCCTGCCTTTTCGCTCGGCAAGCCCAGCAGGCAGGGCTGCACGGGGCAGCAGGACCGGGCTGAGAGGAGGCAGCAGCTTTGCAGGAGCGGCTCCTCCAGCACCAGCTGCTTGGGAAGGGCTGAACTTGAAGCTGGGGCCGTTTTTTGGGGTCACTGTCCCCACTGGGCCATGGCAGGGGCTGTGGCCGCTCACCATCGGGGTTGAAATGCACGTCCTCCTCCACGCCCACGCCGTGCTGGCCGGAGCTGTAGGAGGAAGGGTTGGCCGCGTAGCTCTGCCGGGCGGCAGCGTCCCCGCCGGGCTGCGGCCAGCCCTGGGTGTCCCTCCTCCCGGGCACAAAGCCCAGGAGCACCGGGGATCCGTGGCTGGGCCGCTGGGCCGTGGATGCGTGGCTGGAGAGCAGGTGGGTGTAGCTGGCGGTGCCAGGGTTGGGAGAGGCTCCTTCGCCACCCCCGGGCTCCACGTGCTCCGCGCTGCCCACGTGGAAAACCCACACGCCGGGAATTCCCGTGTTGCTCTCCCTGTGGACGCAGCACACACCAACATCATCACAGCCGTGCTGGAAAAGCGCCCCCAGAGCTGGCACCACCCCTCCAGGACCCCAATACACACATGGGGCTGAGCTCCTGGTGCACCCCCCAGCTCACCCCCCAAATTTTTCCAGCCTCCAACAGGCTCCAGGGCTGGGAGAAGGTGACTCTGCTCCCCCTGCTCACACCCACAGCCCCACAGGTTCCACTCACCTCTCCAGGACCCTCAGAGCCTGCTCACTGCTGGCCAGGCTGTGGAAGAGCCCGTCCCTCTTCGGGTCATCACCGTCCCCCCAGCTGAAGCCCACCCTGGCTGGCAGCTCCAGCTGGACGTTGTAGGACTCCTTGGGTCGCGTCCCCAGGAACTGGAGGCCGCCGTTGGGGTAGAGGAAGATGGTGTAGGTGTCCTCATCGTTGTAGGCTATGACTGCCTGGAAGGTGTTGAGCTGCCAAAGGGAGAGAGGGACAGATGGATGGCACAGAGGGGCAGGAACACGGCAGAGGAGTGAGGGAAGGGGAAGGAGTGAAGGGATGAGAGAGGCAGCCCCACACACACCACAGGGCGTGGAAACATCCCAAAAGGGCCCTCCAACAGAGAGCACCTCCAGACACAGGCTGGGAGAGCTGGGAGTGCTCACCTGGAGAGGAGAAGGCTCCAGGGACACCTCAGAGCCCCTTGCAGGGCCTGAAGGGGCTCCAGGAGAGCTGCAGAGGGACTGGGGACAAGGGATGGAGGGACAGGACACAGGGAATGGCTCCCAGTGCCAGAGGGCAGGGATGGATGGGCTACTGGGAATTGGGAATTCCTGGCTGGGAGGTGGTGAGGCCCTGGCACAGGGTGCCCAGAGCAGCTCTGGCTGCCGCTGGATCCCTGGAAGTGCCCAAAGCCAGGCTGGGATATTGGAAGGTGTCCCTGCCATGGCAGGGGTGGCACTGGATGAGCTTTCAGGTCCCTTCCAACCCAAACCATCCCATGATCAGCCTGGGGCAGGAGCTGGCTCACACCCAGCCAAACCCCGAGTGCCACATCCCGGGAAGATGCTCAGCATCCTCCTAGGAGCCCATGGCACAGCCGGGCCACTCCCTCAGTGCAAGGGCGTCCCAAGAGCATCCCTGGCCACAGAACCCCTGCACTGGGAGCCCCTCACCCCCTGCTCCATCCCATCAGCACCAGAGGGAAACCCCCACCCCCCGCTTGTCCCTGAGAATAATTTTAGCTCGGTTTCCTCCGGAAAAAACATTCCTGCGCTCCCAGCTTCCCATACATCCCGCTATAGGCAGTCTGGCCGCCTGCCCTGCCAGCCCTGCGAGCCTTGGGGCCGTGCCAGGCACCACGGCCACAACCACGGCCGGGGAGGCTCCGGAGCCAGCACAGCCCTGCCGAGCCACCCCACAACACCCAGACACCGAGAAACCAACCCCACAGAGCTCCTGCTACCCCGGGAAACAGCTCCAGGCAGGGAGCAGCAGCCCTTCCCACCCAGCTGCTGGAAGCAGCGCGCAGGGAACGGCGCCCGAGAGAAGGAAAAATGATTAAAACTCCCGGTTTCACCCCTGGAGAGGTGGGAGGGAGGCTGGGGGCTCCCCCCACTCCACCCCCCACAGCACCAGCCCTGATTTTGGGGCGCAGGGCCCCCCGGAGCATCTCTGGATTTCCTGGCAGCCCTGCGGGATATAAAGAGCCTTGTTGTGCCTGTCACACACTCGGGCATTCAGAGACCCCGAAAAGGCGGCCAAAAAGCTGGAGGGGTTGGAATAACCCCCCTCCCCCCGGGGCTGGATTCCTCCCCCACGCAGCCAAATCACAGCAGCAGCTGCAGGACTCGTTCTGCCTTGGGGTGGGTGGCGAGGGGGGACACGCTGGGTGACATCGATGCGCTGGCACAGCGGGATGAAGGGGAGGAGGGGGGAAGAGCCCGGCAAAGAGCTGCAAAGGGCAAATTCCAGCCCAAAAGGGCAAGTTTTGCTCCTACAGAAGAAGGCTCGGCCTTGTCACATTCTGCAGCCCAGGGAAATGTCACTGCAGGGACCAGGAGCGTGTCCCGAGGAGCTGGAGGGGACACGGCACTGCCAGACCTCTCACCCCACAGCTCTGGGGATCCTCTGCTCCTCATCTTAACCCGGTTTTCTACTTTGGGGGCTCAAAAGGGATTAGCTGTGACTTCCCAGGGCAGGGGGAAAGGCTTTGGAGTCAATCGTGGTTCTGAGCAGCAGGAAGGCAGCGTTTCCATAAACGCCACTTTTGGTCAGGGAAAAAGAGAAGTGGTGTCTGGGGAGCTTTTTTAGCAGTTTTGGAGAAGGGGGAGCTCAGCAAAGCTAAGCAGGCACGAGCTGCATTTCAGGAGCTTTCCTTTTCCTTTCTTGTTTTCCAAACAAGACCGATTTCATTTTAAAGCCTGATCCAAACTTCTCAGAGGGGGGAAAAAAACCACAACGGGGAAGAGGAGAGAAGAGGAGGCTGCGTTTTCGATGGCTGCGAGGTCGCTGTGAGGCCCCTGATGGCATCTCCTCAGCTGTTTTCCCAACTTCTAAATGAGAGGAAAAAATGTGCCTTGTCTCCTTCCAAACCTCAGCCTCCTGCCTCGCTTGGCTTCCCTCTCGACAACGCGCTACCGAAGGGCCCCGGAGCGGGGGGACGCCTGGGGATGGCTCCTGGTGGCCCTTGGGGACATTTGGCTGCTGCTGGGCTTTGGGTGAGAGCCCATCACCCATCCCTGGGTATCCATCACCGGAGTTTTCCTCGTTCAGCTCGCTGGAGTCCGTGCAGCTGGCGGAGCATCACCGTCACCTCCTCAGCGCGCCATCGGCCCGAGTGACAGCTCGTGACACGGCGTTTTCGGGGACAGGCAGTGCTGGAGGTTCACCCACATGGGTGCAGAGCACAGGTCACCCCCCCGACCTGGCAGACCACCTCTGAGTTTGTTTCCCAGGCACAAAATCAGCCCACGGTGGAAATTCCAGAGGCTGTTCCCGGCCAGCAGCGGAATCAGCGCAGGGGCAGGAGGAAAGGCCGGCCCCGAGCCACCAGTAAAGGTCAGGAGCACAATGGGTGACCTAAAGCAGGGCCACCCCCAGCTGCCCCCAGCCACCCTCTGCCCTGCAAGGCCAGAGCTACCAGCACTGGAAAGCTTTGTCCGAATAGAACCAGAATTCATGGAATGGTTTGGGTCGAGGGGATCTTAAAATTCACCTCATCCCACCCCTGCCATGGCAGGGACACCTTCTGCTATCCCAGACTCCAAGCCCCATCCAACCTGGCCTTGGGCACTTCCAGGGATCCAGGGGCAGCCACAGCTTCTCAGGGCACCCTGTGCCAGGGCCTCACAACCCTCCCAGCCAAGAATTCCTGATCTAAGATCGGATCCAAGCAATGTGAAGCCATTCTCCCTTGTCCTGTCACTCCATGTCCTTGAAGACAACCTCCAAACCTCTTGTGGCCAACAGCCCCACCACTGCCACAGCTCTGAGCAGAGGGGGAAAGCCCCATGTTCCTCCTTGTGCTCACCCAAGGATGGATGGATGGATGGAGCCACCATCCAGCTGCTCACAAAGGAAAGAATCAGCACTTTGGGGACCACACGAGAAAAACTCATCCTCCCACGACACGTAGGATGGGGCACCCAAGCTCTGCCCCTTGGCCTCACCTTCCTGGAGGGCTCGGTGTCCTGGGAGAGCTCCTGGTAGGCGCCCACGTCCTCCCAGGTGGCAATGAAGGCATTGGTGGGCACGAAGGTGCCGGCAGAGCGGGGAAACCCGGCCTGGATGTATCCCACAGCCTGGTCCAGCACGTCCCGAGAGTCATCCTGCCGGTAATAGATGTTCCCTCTGTCCCCGGAGGTGTCGAGGTCGGCCAGGAAGGGGGCGATGACGGGGAAGTCTGTGGGGAAATCGTCATCCACGTACTGGGTCTCCCTGGGGAAATCCTGGGTGGAGATGACCCCGTTGGTCCCCACCTGCGGGGAGAGCGGTGCTCAGGAGCTGCAGGGGTGCCACCACTGCCGGTCCCCTGTCCCTGTCCCCCCCTCCTCGGCGCAGTGGGAGCCCTGAGGCCGCGTGGCCCCATCCGGCCGGGCAGAAAACAAAAGACCTCGGGTTCCTCCGGCCCCCAGGGAGCTGCAGCTCAGGGGCCATCCCAGCTGCAGCCGCTGCCGGCGGGGAACAGCTGCGGGGAGGAGAAAGCCTTCTTGTTCCTCCGCAGCCGGAGACAGCGGGCAGGGGGAGAGGGATGGATGGAGGGAGGGAGGGATGGAGGGATGGGGACAAAAGCACGTGCGGTGGGACAGCCGAGGTGCACATGGAGGGGCAGGGACGGGCAGGAGCAGGAGGAGGAGGAGGAGGAAAGGCAGGGGAGGAAGGATGGAAAGAGGGAGGGGTGAAAAGCCAGAAGGAAGGAGGGATGGTGGGACAGAGGGATGGAGGGAAGCAGAGCGGGAAGACGGAGAGAGACAGGGCTGAAAGGAGGGAGAGACAGAGGGTGGAGAGATGGAGGGACAGAGGGGGATGATGGAGAGGAGGAAGCGGGGTAGGGGGTGAGGCAGGGG